CTGCCCAGGACTGTAAGAAACTACAGAAGGATGTGTGCATAGCCCAGACCATCATGGAAGCCAACCTTCCATCCATGGACTCTATTTACAAGGCTCATTGCCGCAGAAAGGCTGCTGACATCACCAAAGACACGTTGCACTCCGGTAATGCTCTCCTACAACCTTTTCTGTTGGGCAGAATACACAGAAACTTGACCATGCGCACCAGCAGGTTCAGGGACGGCTTCTCAGCTGTTATTAGACTGAATGGATTCTCTCATTTTAAGTAATGCTGATCTTGTCTAGTGCACACCTTGTACGACATAACCTGTATGTCCTTGCTTGCTACGATCTGCCTGTACTGCTTGTAGATAAAACTTTTCATTGTGCTTAGGTACACGTGACAATAAATAAATCAGATCTTTAAGGTGGAAGATGCCATGAGCACTCCATTAATACTAAAGCATATGGGGCAGGAATTAAATTCCATCACTAGAGAAGTAGTATTAGACAAACTAATAGGACTAAAGACAGAAGTCGTCTAGCCCTGATGGCTTGTATCCGAGGATGCTGAAAGAAATAGTGGATGTATTGCTTGTAATTTTCCAAAAAGAAGCTTGGATTCTGGATAAGTACAAGAGGGTTGAAAAACTGCCAATGTGAAACTCCTATTCAGAAAGGGAGGGAGGAAAAAGTAATTAACAGTAGGCCAATTAGCCTAACATACATTGTTGGAAAATAATTGGTATCAATTATTATAGTAGTAGCAGAACATTTGGAAAATCATAGTCTAATCAAGCAGAGTCAGAGTGGCTTTAAGAAAGGGAAGTTGTCTGGCTTATTTATTAGTGGTTGAGACTTCCTTGAAAAAGGGTGAATAAAGGGGAACCAGTAGATATGTTGAATTTAGACTTTCAGAAGGCATTTGTCAAGGCACCTTACAAAAGGTTAAGCCATACCAAAATGATCCTGTGGTGTTGGAGGTTGTATATTGATAGGGATAGAAAATTTCCTAATTGGCAGGAAATGGGAGGTAAGGGTTTCTCTCTCGGGTTGGTGACCTGTGACTAGTAGGGTTCCGTGGGGATCAAAGCTGGGACCACAACTGTTTACAATTTGTATATTAATGATTTGGAGGAAAGAAGCAAATGTACTGTAGCCAACTTTTCAGATGACACATGAGGAACAGGATTATGCCATTCAGCTCCTCAAACCTGTTCTACCATTCAGTGAGATCATGGCTGATCTGTGGCCTAACTCTGTACACCTCATTTTGGCCCATACCCCTCAATTTGTTAAGCAAAGTTATTAAGGGATATCAGGAAAGCGGACATGAGGAATGTTAGATCAGCCATGATCTCACTGGTGGAGTGGGCTTGAATGACCAACTGACCTCCTATTCCTATTTCTTGTAGCTTTAATCATTAATTTTGTCTGTTTAATGGAGTTTGGAGTTGAAAGATTATTCCTTAAGTTTGGGGAATGTGGGTTATTTATCAGCACAATGAACATTTTTATTTAGATTTTTCTTCTCTTCAGAAACAATTCTCCATTTTAAAGTGTCAGTTGGCCCAAAATCACCAACCTTCTCTGGAAGCCCATATAGCCTGAATATAGCCCAGTTGTGGTCCGTACTTTCCTTTTATTAGTTGTCCAAATTGAGTACATTTCAGCCATGCCTGTTTATTTTTAAAGCTGTATAATATGTCTCCCTCTCTTGGGCAAAAATGCCACTTAAACTCATGATCACATTGAACTCTTTTTTCGAGTTCATCCTTTAGGGGCAAGGACCTGGTGGTAGGCTCAACTGAACTGCATGCAATAGTGATTTGTAACCCAAAACTCCTCAATACTCTTAGGCTGCAATTACTGCATACTGAACTGATTTTTTTGTGTGTGGTAAATGATCACGCCCATGTATATTTTCCATTGGTCACTGAAGAGCCTGTCTTTGCCAAGATAGTATCATTTAAGTTGTGGCAAAGGTGGATGTTATGTAGTTTCATAAGGCAAAGCTTTTAAAAGAGAGAATGAAGGGGTTTGATGGTCCATGAATCTTAAATTGACAGCTTGTTGCCAATGTTTTTCCAGTCCTCAAGTAGTCCATTTTAGACAGCCCATGTATATCTCTACCGATTTCTGTTCTTTTATGCTAAGTCTCTATTGTCCGTTGAAATAATGAAGCTCTTTGAGGATAGCACAGTTGATTTGTAATTATGACTTTAAGTATCTCAGACTTTTTAATGAAGTAGAAAATTTAATCGTGTGGAATTCATGGGACTCGAACTAGGAATAAGCTATACAGCCCTTCGATCCAGCTCACCATTCAACCAAATCATGGCTGATCCTCTATCATTATGCTGTATTTCTGCTTTCTCCCCGTTCACCTTGATTCCTTAAATTTTTTTTTTAAAGAAGATAATCTTTGGTATATTCAGTGACTTTACCACAAAGGCAATGGAGGCCGAGAATTCCACAGGTTTGCTATCTTTTGAGTGAAGTCACTTTTCCTCATCTGTCGTAATTTGTCTACCCTGTTTTCTGAGACTGTCACTTGGTTATAGATTCCCCAAATCAGGGAAAACATTCCCCCCTGCATTTTGTATGTCCAGCCCTGTTAGCATTTTCTATGTCTTAATCTGATACACTCTAATCCTTCTAAGCTTTAGTGAATACAGGCCAGCTGACCCAATGTCTCCTTTATAGGACAGATTTGCCATTTTGGTATCAGCTTAGTGAATCTCCACTTTGCTCCTTCTGTGGCAAGTATATCCTTTTTTAAGATAGGTTAAAAACTGCATGCAGTGCCCTAGATGTGGTCCCAGCAAGGCCCTGTATAACTGCTCTAAGGCATGCTGGCTTCTGAACTCAAATCCCCTTGCAGTGAAGGCCAACTATTTGCCTTTCTAATTGCTTGCTATATCTGCCTATCTACTTTATTGACTGGTGTACAAGGGCTCCCAGATCCTTTGTACATCCACTCTTCCTGATATGTCACCAACTAAATCTGCTTTTCTGTTTTTTGTACAACAGTATATCACTTCACATTTAGTACAGGACGTTGGTGGAGCCATTTTTTAGAATACTCAGTACAACTCTGGTCAACCTGCTATAGGAAAGATGTTGTAAAACTAGAAAGGGTATTGAAAAAGTTTACAAGAATGTTACCAAGACTGGAGGTTTGAGTTATAAGGAGAGGCTTTGTAGGCTGGGACTTCTTTTTTCGCCTGGAGTGTCAGAGGCTGAGGGGTAATCTTTTAGATGTTTAGAAAATCATGGAGGGCATACAGCAGTTGAATAGCAAAGGTCTTTTTCCAAGGCTGGGAAAGTTCAAAACTAGATGGCATGAGTTTAAGGTGAGGGGAAAGATTTAAAAGGGAACTGTGGGGCACCTTTTTCAGAGGGTGGTGAGTATGTGGGATGAGCTGCCAGAGGAAGTGGTACAGGCAGATGCAATTACTTACAACATTCAGAACATGTTTGAATAGGAATGGTTTAGAGCAATTATGGATCAAACAAAAGCAAATGGCACTAGTTCAATTTTAAAATACCTGGTCGGCATGGCTGAGTTGGACCAAATGATCTGTTTCCATGCTGTATGACTATGAATCTGCTGTGTATTCACCCAATCACTCAACTTTTCTTAAACACCTTGAAGCCTCCTTGTTGACTCCTCTCAACTCTTGATCTTTCCCAAGTTTATGTCATCAGCAAACTTGGAAATGTTGCATTTGGTTATCTCATCCAGATCATTTTATGTATATTGTGAATAGTTGGTGTCCAATCACTGATCCTTGTGATCCCTGCCACTCAGAAAAGATCCATTAAACCCCACTGTATCCTGTCAATCAACTAATTCTTGATCAGTATTATTGTTGTCTCCTATTCCACGTGCTTTCACTTTGCCCACTTGTGAGGGACGTTATCAAAAGTCTTCTGAAAATCTAAATACACAACATCCAATGGTGTTCCATCCATTCTGCTAGTTAGATTATCAAAAACTCCAATAGATTTGCTAAGTGTGATTTTCTCCTTTATAATTCCATGCTGGTTTTGTCCAGTCCTGTTCATACTTTCCAGATGTTCTGGCTGTATAGGTAAAGCTTGCTAATGGACAAAAGGCAGGCCATATAGATTTAAAAAAAAACATGGCTAATGGACAGGATGTTATCTGTGATTACCATTTGTTTTTGTTCTGGAGAGATATACAGTGATGTTCCAGGGTAGGTTTTAGGACTGTTTATTTTCTTGTTGCCCTCATTAATTACCTGTTATTTTCATAGAGTATAATTTAAGAATTTGCAGATGTGAAACTCAGGATTGTAGAAAACATTAAGGATGGGAACCAATTTTGGGGGGAATGCAGACTGATCTGGGTGGAGGAAATTTAGATAGAAAAGTGAAGTGAAACATTTTTTGGTGCTAATGATTGTCAAATGAGCAATTTTAAAGAGGACCAGAGTTGTGGGAGTGTATGTACTCTGAAGGATATGAGTAAAAAAGCAAATTATGCAAAACCTTTTGAAAGCATTGGTTCGTCTTCAGCTGGAGTCTTGAGTTCATTTTTAAGCACTACATGGTAGGAGGATACCAAGACTTTAGAAAGTTGCACAGGTGATTTTTAAGAATAGTATCACAGATGAGTGAACTTATTTTTTTGTGGATTCTACATATTGACAAGATAGGATAACTTGCACTTTGAGTGTGGAAGACAGTGGCTCAATTTAAGATTAATGAGTGGAAATGGAGTCAAAATAGTCTAATTGAAAGGCAGGGATGTTGTAAACAATGCAGGTTCAGGCTGTGTCTGGGGAGTTTCCATTGTGTACGTTTCTCTTGGCTCTACGCAGTTTTTGAAAATTGACCTAGCAGTGATGATCTAAAATGGAATATTGATGCTGTCATATCATAGAAATATATTGTACATTGTGTTTTTAACACTGAATCAAAATTTAATTGCATTGTTAAAGTATAGCTTGTTTGAAGAGCCATTCATCTATCTGTCTTCTTTTCTGCATTGTTACACAGCTGTTGTGAAGCTGCCATGTCGACAAAAAAGCTGACAAGTGAAGACTACAATGATTATAGTTCCACAGAAAACAGTCCAGACCATGACCACGTGAGTTCTTCACCTGATATTTCTTCAAGTTCACCTGATAATTTTGGAAATTATCAGCGTCTAAATGAAAGAACTGGCACAACGTAAGTGTTTTAAAGTTTTGAAGTAAATTTACTTTTTTTTTAATGAATGGTTTCAATTGAAAGTCATCTTAGTCAAAGTGGACCATAAATTGCTCACTGATTAGGGAGGGAAGAATGGTGCTGAGTCACTACACCTTAGCGAGATTGAGCAGGCAGAGCCTTTTTGATGACTTTAGCTGGTACCAGAATTGCACCTGTCTTGTTGGTGTTACTCTGCATTACAAATCAGCCTCCAAACAACTGTAGTAACCAATCCCAACTGAGTTTGTTGCTAATGTGCCTTTAAAACACTAAATTGCTTCATAATTGTCCTATTTTGTTTTTCTTTTGTTCCATACTCTGAGTATCTATAAAACATCATTAAGAACCTTTTTAGAATCAGAGATAGTCTTCAAGTCTCGGTTTTCAGAAGGACATGGTTAATTGTTTAGAAATCGGAGTGGTCTACTCTAAATTTGAGCATAGTGATTGGTCTTTGGTGCAATCAAGCCTAGATTCAGGCTGGCCTATCATTGCTGTTTTGAAGAATACATCTAGAAATAGTGAACAGAAGAATTTGTGCAGCACAAATTTGAGTTCTCTACTGTTGTACTGTAGAATCTGGTGTTTTGATAGAATTGGCAAAGAACCAAACAAGTGCAGTTTTTAAATTCTGCATTAAATTTCTGGATCATTGTATGTTAAACTGTGTGAGGAGTATTAATCTCTGTTTACATTTCAGGCCTATTGAGACATTAATTCACTTGTTGAAAGGCAACATAGGAACAGGGCTCCTCAGCCTTCCACTGGCAGTGAAGAATGCGGGTATTGTGGTGAGATACTTTTTTTTTACTAGTACTGTACAGAGCTGTTTTAGAGATTTTTGGGGGAGGGGGATATATTTTCTTGTCACAGTCAGCCTATTTTTCTTTTTCTCAAAATAACTGACATATGCTTCTACAAACAGCCATCACCTGAAAGAAACCTTGCTCAGACTGATAATGCCAACGCCATTGCATTTTCATTGTACATTTTAACCAGACTGTTACAATATTATTTGCTGTATCTTTGATCTCAATCTCAGATTTAAATGCAACAGTTACAAGTGCTCATTAAGAATAGGATCCAGTGCAATTTTTAAAAGTATTATGGCTCATTAACTTACACAGCTCTTAGTAAGACTTTTCTCGTTCAATTTTCAAGAAATTAATTATCTTGAAATCAAAACACTGCAGATTTTGGAAATCTAAAAGAAGAAACTCAGCTAGTCTGTCAGCATCTGTGAAGAGAGAAAGGTGGTTGACTTTATAAATCCAGTATGAGTCTTTCAAAACTGATGCGTCATATTGGACTTGTAACGTTAACATTTTCTATCTCTCACTGCAGAGGCTCCCAGACTAACTGAGTTTCCCTATAATTTCTGACTTTGAATTCATTACCCATTTGCAGATTTTTTTCTGGATGCCAGTTAATTGAATATTACACTTCTACAACTGGTTTAAATCTGTTCTCTCTTTTGTAGCCTCCCTCTTGCCACCTTTCTCTCATCCACCTCTTGCCATCATTGTTTTCCTTGTGTCCATCCTGTCTTGCTCTGTCTCCATGTGCTCAAATCTACTATACCAGACCTTTAACAGAAACCTTTTGAGAATATAAATATGTTCCATCTGCATTACCTATGTCGATACTTTCAATTAGTTCTTCAAAGAATTCAATTAGCTTGTTCGAGTATAGCCTTCCATTTTGAAAACTGCTGACTATTCTTTTTTATATTTCTAATTTCCAGATAGTTTATCGATCACACATAAGTACAAAAGATAATGGAATCTTCACTACTGTTAAACTAACTAACATTTCTTTTGTCTCTAAAATACTGTTTCCATAATCCTTGATAATTTAATCCATAGTTCCTCTTTGGTTTCTTATTTTTTCTAACATCTCATTCCTTTTCTCCTTCATTATGTCGGCACTTAAGTCTGTCTTATTTGATATTTCTCTCCATTTTTAGCTAAATATACATTTCTTGAACACTTGTCGTCACTTTTCTAATATTTCTATGGCTGTACGCTTTTTCTATCTCTTTGTGCCAGTTTATCTTTCCAAATTCCATTCCCTTTGCCCAGAAATTTGGCTTTCTGTTTCCAGTCTTGATCTTAATCTTGCAACATCTCAAGCTCATCATAATTATACCCAGCCAGGTGAGGGAAAATAATCTATCACAACTTAATGTGAGCCTTGTGGATGTTGGTGTGACATTTGGTATCGGTGTCATTAAAAGATGTGATGTGTGACTGCTAAATGCTGGAGATTGTCAGTTGACATTTTATTCATAGAATAAACCAAGCTATTTACCTTTCACAGAACTTAAGATTTCAAAAACACATGAAAATAAAATCCCATGTATTCTAATGCCATCACTTTTTTACAGTACTCAAATACTAGAAGGTTCCCTTATCACATCTATAAGTATGACTTAATAGTTTCTTTAAGATAAATGGTATTAAATGAATCAAAACCTTGTATCACACCTGTTTATGAAAACTGTTGAACTGCTGCAAAAGTAAATGGTGGGGTATCAAAGGAATATGGTACTCATGAGCAGGTGTCCCCTTTAATTCCCTCAGCCATTGGAACTTGTAACTGGTTCGGTTTAAAACTGGTGCTGAGCAGTGTTAGGGTTTAATGTTCCATCTTTTTGCTCTCCTTCTATTGGTCCTCCAGTTGTGACCTGTAAAATGCTTGATCGATACTTCTTGAAAAAGAGTTGCATGATCAAAAATGTCATGGTATTTGAATGCGGAACGGAGGCTAATGTATAATTTCAAGTTTTAATTCCCTTTTTCATTTGTCCACAGCTTGGTCCAATCAGCCTCATTATTATCGGAGTGGTGGCTGTACACTGTATGCGTTTGCTGGTCAAATGCAGTCATTATCTGTCTGCTAAGTAAGTTATGATTCTGCTAATATTTTCTCTAGTGAGCATGTGTACACCTATAATGTTTCATTTTTCATTTCTCATTTCATTCATTTTCACTTTTATAAAGTCCTAAATGTCTCAATTTATTTGGGGATTTAAAATAAATGATTGTCAGTTGGTAAATGTTTGGAAATGTAAAATTTGGCTTTTTATCAAGAGCTTATTAAACTTTTCCATAAATGTACAACATAGCTCTCTTTCTCACCTTGGATCGCAAATTCTAAATGAACTAACAAATATAATTCCAAGTAGCACTGTTTAATACGCATCCACACACGGCACAATGGCTCAGTGGTTAGCAGTGTTGCCTCACAGCGTCAAGGACCCGTGTTCAATTCCACCCTTGGACGACTGTCTGTTTGTGTAGAGTTTGTACGTTTTCCCCTTGTCTGTGTGGGTCTCTGCTGCGTGCTCCAGTTTCCTCCCACAGTCCAAAGATGTGCAAGTTAGGTGGTTTGGCTTTGCTAAATTACCCATAGTGTTCAGGGACTTGTAGGTCAGCTATGGGAAATGCAGGGTGACAGGGGTAGGGTAGGGTGACACGTCTGAGTCTGGGTAGGATGCTCCTCGGAGGGTCGGTGTGGACTTGTTGGGCCGAATGGCCTGTTTCCACACTGTAGGGATTCTAGTCTATAAATTTAATCTTTATCTTTGGCTATACCTTCAGCCATCTGGACATGGTAATCCTTAGGTTAAACCACCACCAGTTCTTTCTGAAATGAAAGAGCAGCCCTTGGTCTAGTAGGACTATGGTGACTTTACCTTTTATACAGTTACACTTTCATAAGCCAACAGTGGATGAAATGAATGTTTAAGTTAATAATGAGGTGCTGGTCAACTGAACTGATTTATTTTTTTCCTCTCTGGATAATTGGTGGTTATATTGATAGTGAGGAGGATGGTCTCAGACTACAGTCTGATATTGATCAGCTGGTAAATTGGGCAGAGCACTTGCAGATGGAATTTAATCCTAATAAGTGTGAGGTGATGCATTTTGCGAGATCTAATAAGGAAGAATATACACAATGAATGGTGGGACCCTAGGGACTAAGGAACAAAAGGACCTTGATGTACAAGTCCATAGATCCCTGCTGGTGTTAAAGTGGTGGTAAAAAAGGCATAAAGGTTGCTTGTTTTCATTAGCTGGGGTATAGAATATAGGAGCAAGGAAGTCTTTTTACAACTTAATGAAAAATTTGATTAGACCACAAAATGGAATACTGTCTGCAGATCTGGTTGCCACACATTCAGAAGGACATGATTGCACTGGAGAGGGTGCAGTAGAGATTCATCAGGAATGACATGTCTCAGTTATGAGCAGAGACTAAATAGGCCAGGGTTGTTTTCCTTGGAGTAGAGCAAGCGGAGGAGGGAACAGATTGAAGTATGCAAAATGATGAGACACACAGACAGAGTAAATCATAAGAATCTCTTTCCCATGACAGGTGCCTCTTTCTGCCTAGAATTTGGTAGAAATATGGAACACGCTTTGAGAGGCTGGTACATTCACAACATTTTGAACATCTAGATGACGACTTAAAAAATCAGGACGTAGTAGGCAATGGACCAAATGCAAGTAAATGGCATTAGTTGAAGTTTGGTATTTGTTGACCGGGTTAGCTGCAGTGCGCCACAGGGTGATGTTCCTATATTGCATGACTCTTGACTCTGTAACGTTAGATTTCCTGAATGTTGTTATAGTTGTGTCCATCCAGGCATATGGAGAGTATTCAGTCACATTTGACTTGTAGGTTCTGTTGAAGCTTTGGCAAGTGAGCTGAACATTTTGCCAAATGATGGTAACTTTCTGAATTATTCAATGATTTGTGGATGTCACTGAGTGGGCCAGCATTTTTTGCCCATCCCAGTTGCCCTGGAGAGGTGGTTGTGAGCTGCATTCCAAATTCTGTAGTGTTTTCAATATTCCGGTAAGTGTTAGTCTTTCACCTTACTAACCAATCTGTAATACATAAGCTTTTTCCTGTTCCTCATGATTATGGGAAATTGCTATTGCGTCACAATTAATTTCATTGTTCTGGGACATTTTTGTAATTAGGGTAAAACCAAAGTTTCATTTAAAATTGTCTGACTTACTTTGGGTCCATTGTTCTGTGTTTCTGACATACACTTCTGTTTGCCTTCTGAGGAGGAAGTAGTTTCTGTGGATATCTGATCTCTGAATCCAGTTCAGTGAGAAAAATGCCTTCTGGTGAAATTATTGTCACATTATGAGTATGCGGAATACCAAGTTTTTAAAGAGTCTGTTTTTAATTTTAGGTTACAGAAGCCGTATCTAGATTATGGAAGTGTGGTGATGTACAGTTTGGAAGAGTGCCCGAACCTTTGGCTGCAAAAACATTCTTCTGTTGGAAGGTATTTGGATCTTTGAGTTGATCCGAGAATTTGTAAATAAAAGTTACAGAATAATAGATAACAATGCAAATGTGAAAGTAAGTAATACTTGAAATGTCTGTTTTGGTCTCGTTCACTGTTGTATACCTTGGACACCATTGCATACAGAACATAGATTAGTACAGGACAGGAGCAGACCATTCGGCCCACTGTGTTTGTGCTGACCATGATGCCATTCTAAACTAATCTCATCTGCCTGTGGATGGCCCATATCCCCTTCTTCCCTGCCTATTCATGTAATTTTCTAAATACCTCTTAAACTTTGCTCACATCTGCTTCTACCACCTTCTCTGGCAGTATATTCCAGGCACCCACCACCTCAATGAGAGAAAAAATATCTTTCATTGCACATCTCTTTGACTTTTCCCTGCTCACCTTAACCTTATGCCCCTTAGTATTTGACATTTCCACCCTGGGAGTAGACTGACTAGCCACCCTATCCATGCCCCTCTTAATTCTATATACTTCCATTAGGTTTTCTCTCCGCCTCTAAGTGTAGTGGAAACGATTGAAGTTCGTCCAACCTTTCCTTGTTGCTAGTACAGTCCTATCCAGGCAACATTCTGGTAAACCTTTATTGCACCCTCTCCAAAGTGTCTACATTTTTCCTATAGTGTGGCAACCAGAACTGCGGACAAATGTGACCTAATCAAAGTCTTATACAGCTGCAACATGGCTTGGCAACTTTATACTCAATGTCCCTGACAATGATGGCAAGCATGCTGCATATCACCGTTTATCGTCTTATCAGCTTAACTTGTCACTTTCAGGGAGCTGTGAACTTGGACCCCAAGATTTTTCTGTACATCAATGCTCGTAAGGGTCCTGTCATTTACTAAATACTTCCCTTTTGCATTTGACCTCCCAAAAAACATCACCTCACACCTGTCTAGATTAAACTCCATCTGCCATTTCTCCACCCAACTTTCCAACTGATGATATATCCTACTACATCCTTTGATAACCTTCTTTATTATTTACAATTCCTCCCATTTTTGTGTTGCCTGTAAACTTATCAAATCACCTACATTTTCATCCAAATCATTTATATTACGAACAAAAGCTGTCCCAGAGCTGATCCTTGTGGAACACCACTGGTCAGAAAATGCCTCTTCACAGCTACATTCTGTCATCTATGACCAAGCCAATTTTGTACCCAACTTATCAACTCACTGTGGATCTCATGTGACTTAATCTTGTGGATGAGCCTACCTTGAGGGACCTTGTCAAATGCTTTAAAGTCCATGTAAACAACATTCACTGCTTACCCTCAATCATCATGTCACTTCCTCAAAAACTCATTGGTGAGACAAGACTCTACTGTATAAAGCCATAGTGACAGTCCGTATCAAGTCCATTCCTTCTAGTACAGGTAAATCCTGTCTCTAAGTATCTTCTCCAATAATTTCCCTATCACTGATATAGAACTAGCTGCCTATAATTGCTTAGATTATCCCTGTGGCCTTTAAACAAAGGAACAATATTTGTTTATTCTCTAGTCTTCTGGGACTTTGACTACGGCTAAAGAGGCTACGAAGATCTAGGTCTAGTCCCCAACATCCTTAATTTTATCTACCTTAATGTTTTTCAGGACATCCAACACCACTGCTACCTTAATGTTGACATGCCTCAAAATATCACCGTAGCTATCTTTTAATCTTACCATCATCCATGTCCTTGGTGAATACTAATATGAAATACTCATTAAGGGCCTTATCCACTTCCTTTGACTCCCCGCATAAATTCCCTCCATTGTCCTATGCTTTTTCCAGTTACCCTCTTGTCCTAATGTGTATAAAATGCCTTAGGATTGTCCTTTAAGCCTACTTGACAAAGACATTTCATGGCCCCTTTTAGGTCTCCTAATTCCTTGTTTAACTTCCTTTCTGCTTTCTTTATACTCAAGAATCTTGTTTGATTTCAGTTTTCTAAATCTTACATATGCTTCCTTTTTTCTTTTTAGATAAACTTTCAATATCTGTCAACCAAGGTTCCAGAATCAACTGGCCTTTAAAAGAGTCCTGTATGTCAGATGTGTATTTACTTTCAAACAACCAGTTCCTGCCTAATACTGTTGGAATTGACCTTCCCCTGCTCCCCCCACACCACTCTCAAATTTAGCACTTTCACCTAAGGACCAGTTGTGTCGTTAAAACTTGAGATTATGATCACTATTCCCAAAAATGCTCCCCCACTGAAACTTCTATCACGGCCAGGCATGTAGCCCAATATGAGGTTTAGTACGGCCCTTCCCTAGTTGATTTATCTACATATTGTTTCAAGAAAACACCTCCCCCACCCCACCTTGATGTACCTAACATGTAAGCACATGACACTAAGGGAGTTCCAGTCAATATTGGGGATGTTAAAGTCACCTTCTACAACAATCCTGCTGTTTTTACATCTTTCCATAACCTACTTCCATATCTGTTCCTCTATCTCCCTCTGGCTGTTAGGAGGCCTATAGTAAAACTCCATCAAACTAATTACACCTTTCTTATTCTTAAGTTTTACCCATATAGCCTCAGTCAATGAACCCTCAGATGTCCTCTTAAAGGAGCTGTGACATTCTCTATAATTAGTAATGCAACTTCCCCCACCCATTTTACATCCCTCTATCTTGCCTGAAGCATCTAAACCTTGTAATATTGAGCTGCCAGTCCAGCCGTTCCCTCAAACAAGTTTGTCTTGGCCCAACTCCGACCTACACCCATATCTCAACTTACTTCCCCATTGCCATCTCCTGTTACCATGACTGGGGCTGCATTTTGAATGCTTCCTTCCATTTGCTGCAGGGCTGCCATGGCCCTATGCTGCTTTCATAATATTTACTGTGCATTTTGTTTTGAGCATATTAGTTCAAACAGTTGACTCTTGTTGGTGATGGCTTTTGCTATTCTCTTGCAGAATTTTGGTGGAGTTCTTTTTGATCCTGACGCAGCTGGGATTTTGTTGTGTTTACTTTGTATTTCTGGCTGACAACATTAAGCAGGTAGGTTTTAATTTGTGAATTAGGTTAGCAGCACCCTTAATATAAAACACCAATTGAACACAAGTAGTACCTAGTACTGTGATAAACTTCAAGTATGCGGCAGAGAAGTAGAGTATTGCACACAGGAATTCCCAGCTTCACATATTGCTGTGAGCAGATACAGCATTACTGAAATGAAATGTGAAATATTGAAAAAGAGATTTTCTCACCTTATCAGAACTCTGCAGATTCTTTTGAGCAACCAACGCATTAATCTCTCATTCCTGTTCTTTACATCTAGCTTAACATTTTATTCCCCTTGATCAATCCTTTGCATCAATCTTTACTGGAAATTAATATTGATTCTGATTTTGCCAAACTTTTGGGCAGTTCATTCGGTCCTTACAATGTGCTGTAATGCTTCCCCCTCCTCCCTGTTGCCTCTAATTCTTTTTTGCCAATCTATTAAATCATGTTTTCTGATTTAATTGGTTTAGTCAAAACCATTCATGATTTTTGAACACTATTGAATCTCCTTATGCAGCAGTCCTTCACTTACTGTACTGATGAATGAACCTTGGTATTCATATCTGGAAATGTGGCTTGAATCCATAATTCTTAAGCACCACCATTGTGGCAAACTGGTGAGCATGGCACTTGATGTTCTGTTAATTTGTGGGATAGCTATAATATTACTTTGCAAAGTTTGGGAGGTTGTTCCCTTTTTGAATCAATTCTAAGTTTGAGCACAAGATCTTGCTATAAATACAAGAATTCACCTTCCATGTTTGCATCTTTGGTCAAGCACCTGCGGGTTTAAAAGTGAAATTTGGAACTGTGCAGAGCCCAAAATATGTAACAAATAGGCAAATACTGCAACCTCCTTGACAGTTTCTGTAATGTTTTTATTTGTGTATAAGAATATAAGTTTAAAACATCCTGGTGTGCTGAGTATATTTCTCGATTAAATACTGGAATTTTGCATTTTTTCACCTTTTTTAAGGTTGTGGATGTAGCAAATGCTACAAATAATAACTGCAATCAAAATGTCACAACTTTGGAATCTGATAGTATGGACAGCCGTCTCTACATGCTTAGTTTTCTGCCACTCATCATTCTGTTGGTCTACATTCGCAACCTGAAATACCTAGCTCCCTTTTCTTTGCTCGCCAACCTAGCCATGTGTGTCAGCCTCGTTTTGATCTACTGGTACATTTTCACTGTGAGTAATCGATGCTGTGAATTTTTTTTTCCCTACATTTGATTTTGTTCTTATCTTATATAGTCTGTCATTTTCTTGAGGCTAAAGGTATTGTTTTTTATTGAATGGTTTATTTTAAAACAACATCAAACTTTTGACCAGAATTTTCTTGGTTTTTTTTTTGTCCTGTAAAATCTTACCATGGCAGTGAAGAGGGTGCATTAGCACTCGGCAGCTATTGTGTGGATTAGGTTAATGTCAATGGTGTGTTGTTCAACTCCATCTGGCTTAGACTCTGGGCCTGCCTCCTTGTGCTATCCGTAATTTATATTTAAAGAAAAAAGTGATTTTGCTGTGGTTACAGCAACAATTGCCAAGCAACTTTGTCAGGGAAGACAAGAAAGAGAACCCTAGCATAACTAAATTTGTCCCAGATTCGGACAAATCTCTTCTGTCTTTGATATCATGCGCATGATTTAAGACATGCACGTATCCTGTTTTTGTGATATGTGCTGATAAATTGGTCATGGTCCTTGTGAACATTTCATAGTAATACAGCGTTTTAAATTCCTTGAAGCTGTTGAGCTGTTTTTTTTTCCTTCTTATTGCTAAATTTGCCCTTTTGGATCCTTGAATGAGTGCTGAGAATAACTTGTGCATTTGTAACTTTGCAGTATCTGATTTTTTAGAAGATGAATTATTCATCGGAAAATACAGTAGAGAACAAAAATTAGTATTGTATTTAGCTTTTTTAACATTATTATAACATGCACGATGAATCACTTTTGGATTGGGGTGCTCAGTGAAATCTATCCACGACACTTGGACTCCTTGTTTTAGAGAATTCACCTATCCATTTTTCCATCTTTGGTCAATCACCTGCAGGTTTAAAATGAAATTTGGGGAATTGTGCAAGACATGGGCACGTTTATGGATTCAAGTTTGGACAAATTTTATTTCAAAGGTCAACAGCTTCTTACGTCATCACATCTATTCAACAGTCAGGATGTCTTATACTGTTTCATGCGCCACTGGCACCAGTACTAGGGAACATGGATTTTATAGTAGATAATAAGGTGTAGAGAAGGATGAACACAGCAGGAAAGCTGACGTTTCGGGTCTAGACCCTTCTTCAGAAATGATTTTATAGTATTAGGACTGTGAGGTTGTAGACATGCTTGCTGAGCCGGTGTGTTTGAATGCAGACGCTTCATCACCCTGCTAGGTAACCTCGTCCGTGTGCCTCTGGTGAAGCGTTGGTATTCTGCCCCGGTTTGCTGGGGGTGGTTGGCATTACTTCGCCAGAGTCGCACTAATGATGTTACCTAGCAGGGTGACGAAAAGTCTGCAATCAAACACGCCGGCTCAGTGGACAAGTCTACAACCCCATCCACAACCCAAGCTACAAGTCTTCTCAAAAAAACCTTTTTAAATTAGGACTGTCTACATCACAATTGTTGGGACTGGTGTTCATGTGTGCTGCACAACCATGGAAGTAGAGAGTGCTTTAAACTAAATGGGGTGTGAAGGATCAATCTTGGGAAAATGTACTGTATTGATCCTGGCTGCTGTATTAACCAGACAAGTTAGATCCTAGGCTGAAATCTAGCCTGATGGATTTTGTTTTGCTTTCTTTATTAAGCAAGGTGGTCCTTAAATGAAAAGCAAGCACACAATGCTGCTGTTTTGGTTTTAACAATAGAAGTTACTTATGCAAAAGAAAAAGATAAAAATAGAATATAATTTGAAAGGTTTCAATATGCACAAAAAAAACTCTGTCGCATATGTTCAGATGAGGCCATCTTTGACAAGGGAACCTCTGAAATGTCCACCTTCTTCCTCAACCGAGGATTCCCCAACACCGTTGTCGACAGGGCCCTCAACCAGGTCCAACCCATCTTCCCATACTTCCGCCATCACCCCCTTCTTTTCCCTCTCGCAACATCGATAGGGTCGCCCTTGTCCTTACCTACCATCCCACCAGCATCCACATCCAGAAGATCATCAGACACCATTTCCACCACCTCCGGCGAGATGCCACCATCAGACACACATTCCCCTCCACTCCCTTGCCTGCCTTCCGCAGGGACTGTTCCCTCTGGGATGCCCTGGTCAACTCTTCTTTCACAGCCCCATGGAACCTTCCCCTGCACCGGAGAAGGTGCAACACCTGCCCATTTACTTCCTCCCTCCCAACTATCCAAGGGCTCAAAAATACCTTTCAGGTGAAGCAACACTTGGTCTCAATGTGGTCTCTTCTACATTGGGGAAATGAAGCATAGATTGAGTGATTGCTTCACAGAACATCTACTTTCTGCTCGCTAAAAAGATCCCAAGCTACCTGTTGCCTGCCTCTTTAACGCACCACGTTGTTCCCTGGCCAACATCTGTCTCTGGCTTGCTGCAGGGTTCCAGTGAAGCTCAATGCAAGCTGGAAGAACAACACCTCATTTTCTGCTTGGGGACCCTGCAGCCCTCTGGACTCAATATTGAGTTCAATAATTTTAGGGCCTAAACGCTCCCATGTCCTCGCCCTCTACCCCACACAGCAGGCCTCGTGATCACAGTCTGCTGGTACACACTACCTATTGTTAGCCATTAACAGTCCCCATTAACAGTTATTCACCCACATAGCCCAATCGTTATCCACTCCTTTGTCCATCCAGCTGTTCCTTTTTCTCAATCCTATCGTTTATTCCCTACCCCACCCCACTTCCTATTTTCTGCGTATAAACCGACGTTTTCCCAGCTACCATCAGTTCTGAGGAAGGGTCATCAGACCCAAAATGTTAACTAATTTTTTCTTCACAGATGCTGCCAGACCTACCGAGCTCTTCCAGCAACTTCTGTTTTTGTTCCTCAATAAAAGTACAGTCCTATTTATTTCAATGCCGTCACATTGCAGTACTCCAATATCAGAAAGTGTTTGCTTCTCTTACCACATTGATGGATTTAACTTTCAATTCTTGGTTTTAAGTGTCATATCCTCTGAGTAATTGCACAGCTGCACTAGACTTTTTCAGCTTCAAATAACCCTGTTAGGGATCTAACCAAACGCTTTGGGTTTGGAACTCTTAAACTAAAACCCTTATACTAAAGTAACCTATTTCCTAACTTTTCTGAACTGACTCCTTTCTCCAGAAGAAACTGTTTCATTCCTGTAATTACAACCAGGGTTTCTGTAAACGGAAACCAAGGGTTTCACTCCTTCCGACTTCCCCGGAATCAAAAAACCTGATCTTTGTAAACTGAGGAGCATTGACTTGCTTTTGTGTTTACTATCCTTATGTAGAACTCTCCCTAGGCAAATAAATTCTCATTCATCATCAATACCCCTAACTTCTTAAATGTATGGTCTCTTTCTTGGTTAATCTTAACAACTGAACATCCACAGCTCTCTGGAGTAGAAAACATTAAAAGATTCCGTCGTCTGGAGTGAAGATGATTTTCAGTCTCTATCCTAAATGGCCAATCCCTTATTCTGACACTGGCCTCTGTGTGACTCTCCAACCTAAAGAAATATCCTCCCAAAACATGTCCTCTGCATTAATTTTATACATCTTATTGAATTCACCTCTCATTTCCCTAAATTTGAGGAATCCAGCCCCAGTTTGTTGTTTTTGGGAAATTCTTCTCTCAGAAATCAAGCTAGTGAATCTCCCTTGCGCTTCTGGTGACGGTAGTGTAGCTTTCTTTGAAAAGAAGAACAAATTCATAAACAGTACTCCATATGTATAGAGAGCCTTGGTGAAGCCCTTTCTTTACCTTTGTATTTCATTGCTTTTGTGATCATTGTTTCATTTCTCTGATTCATGTAGAAGATCTCATTCAACATTTCTCAGCCCCTTTTATTTTGAAAGAAATCTACCTTTCCATTTTCCTTCTAAAGTACATAACTTCACACTTTTCTTGTCATCAGCAATCACTTGTTAACTAGTATGATTGTCTGTTTTGGAAGTTCCATGTCACTAGTCATGGGGTTAAGTGAGTCCATGCATGGCTGATGTGGTCCTATGATTGGGCCCATCTCTGACCAAACGTTTGGCAGGCATTTCTGGAATGTGGAATTTGTCTTTTTCCTTGATCACTCGCATTCCTTTCTCACGTTCCTCTTCTGTACTTCCTGTTACCAATTGCCTTGAAGAATCGTGTCCCTCATTCAGGAGGTTCCTCCAATTCCTGGTTTCTTCACAGTGAGTATCCCAGGCATTGACATCTCTGTTGCATTTTGAAGTGCTTGTTTTGTCCTTCTCCCATTCAAGTGCCTTCCTTAAGCTGCGCAAAGAAAATGTTGCTTTGGCAGTTGAAACTCTGGCATCCTAAGCACGTAGCTGACCCAGTGGAGTTAGTTTTGGATAATCATGACCTCTATACTGGTGCCATTGGGTCCTCCAAGGACACTGATGTTGGTATATCTGCGAAGAATCCACCTCAAACGGCATTTGTGGTTCTTCAGGGCCTTGACAGGGCCTCTATGTTGTCTATGTTTGGAGCTGTGTGGAAGATTCAGAAGTATCTCTGCCTTTTGCACAAGAATCTTGGTATCAGTAAGGGATATTGCATTTGTTGAAGATTCTCATTCTTAGATGTTCAGAGGTGGTGCTTGCTGGTTGGGTGTGCTGTTGTATCTGTGCATTGATGTCAGCCTTGGATGAAGTGATTCCCCTGGTTGGGAAATATTCCATTTTGGGAAGATTTCTCCATTGATCTTAATGGAGGGATAGGCTGGAACTTAGATTGGGATGAGCTGGTAAAGGACTTGAGTCTTTTTGAGGTCGAGACCAAGACTAATTCTTTGGAATGCTAACACAAAAGTGTTAAGTGAGGCTTGAAGATTCTCCTCCAAGAGAATGGAGATAACATTGTCGTCTGCATAATGAAGTTCTGCAAATGATGTTGATGTCATTTTTTTCTTGGATTTCAACTCTTTGAGGTTATTCTTCACAAGATGAATAATGGTGATGAAAATTGATAAGGGAGTGATGATGCATCTTTGCTTGACTCCTGTCCTGACCTCAGGATTCTGTCACTACCAGCGACAATGATGGCAGCATCCTTGAGATAGGCAGCAATTTCTTCTTTGTGCCAAATTTTCAGGAATAGTTGATGGAGGAACAGAGGTTACCCTTTATCTCTAAGTTTGAAAATCTGCATTGGGATCCTGTCCAGTCGTGTGACTTTTCCATTCTTAGTGTGTTTAATGGCAGCTTTGACTTCTGCCATACCAGGTCAGAGTCCAAGATCATCATTGACTGGGAGTTGGGGGATTTCCGCAAACACTTCTCAATTTCGGGCAGAAACATTTACTTTATCCATTTGTCTATATCCCTTTGCAACCTCTGTGCATCCTTCTAACAGCTCATTTTCCCTCCTGACTTGATCATCATAAGAATTGAATATCTTACACTTCATCTCTTCTTTGTAAAATTATCATTGACTCCGCTAATACCCACACACTAATCCACTGACATAATAGGTTGCCTTTCTCACACTTGTCCATGTTAAATTGCATCTGCCAAATTTTGGTCCGTTCACCTAACATATCCATATCCATATCCAATTCTAAATTGGTAAATTTCTTATTACTTATATGCCTTGAAGTTGCTCATTTTTACTCTGATTTTCTTTTTTTCTCTAAATGCTTTGTGTTTTTGGTCCCTCACCATGTTTTTTCTTTTGGCCTTTCTTTATCCATCTTTCCTATTAAATATGACCATCGTCATTCTAGAATTAAGTCTGAAAATTTTGAATATGAATAGCAAACCCATAAGATATATAGGAGCAGTAACCCATTGAGTCTGCTCTGCCATTCACTGAGAATCATGGCTTATTTAATAATCCTGAACTCCACTTTCCAGCCTTTTACCCATAAACTTTGACTCCTTACTGTTTAAATGAAAACAGCCTTTTTGCGTCTACCCTATAAAGTCCCCTGAGAATCTTGTAAGTTTGAGTAAGGTTGCCTGTCATTTTTCTAAACTCCAATGCACACTGACTCAACCTATCATAAGACAGTTCCTCCATACCCAGGATTAATCTATTAAATCTTTTCTGGACTGCCTCCAATGTCAGTATATCTATCTTTAGTGGTGGAGTATGTTGTGAAAATTGTACTTCAAAACATCATCAAAGACTATTCTTTTTCTTGCAGAGTGCAACATATACAAATGATCTACCACCTGTGGCTGACTGGAAATCTTATGCAATGTTTTTCGGAACAGCCATATTTGCATTTGAAGGCATTGGTGTGGTGAGTGAAAATACTTGTATGGTTGATGCTACTGGCAGACCCTTGAAGAGATGTTTAAATCTTAACTTACCTCGACTCCTGATCATTGGAATTCAGTTTGTTAACAGACCACTACAGTGAAAACTGCCGCAACAAAAGAGACCTTTGCTTTATTTTTCACACTTTTTGTGTAGCTTTTCCTACTTTCGCAAAGCTTTGTGTCTTTTAGGTGAATGCAAAGGCCTTTTCTACCATTTGCCTGAATTTGTACAATTTGTTCCCCTCTCCATAGATTCTGTCAGAGTTGCCGAGTTTCTGCAGCACCTTATTTTTATAATTGTCTATTTTAAAGATGCACTAAAATGTTCTTTGTTGATTCATAAACAATTAGAGTTACTCTTCACACTGTCCTTTTGAGCCCTATCCTAATTTTAACTGTCCCTTTTCTGATTTTGTGCCAGCTTTGTTTTAAATTGTCATCTGCATTTTTTTTGTGCTAACCTTGCTCTGGACTTTAAAACCCAAAAAAAGTGAAATTAGGCTCTGCAGCACCTGTTTTGAGTGCTACATAATCTTTTACGACTACAAAAATTGTTACAGGTAGTTCTGGCATAAAACGATAGTTGTGTTCCTGTGCAATTGCCCTATAGAAGATCGCTATAGAAAATCGCTTTACAGAAAGCTCGCATTGTCCAAACAGCATTCACTAATTTGTCAATCGCGTTATAGCCAGTTCACGTTGACGAAACCTGTGTAATAGCAGAACTACCTGTATAAATGCAGACCCAATGAGCAGTGCCTGACATCATCCTTCTCTGAATAAAGGTTGTTGCATGCACGTATGACTGCAAGCAAAACAGAGCTCGTGTGCCAATTTAGAGACTCGTGATGTAGATTGATCATTATTAAACAAAGCTGAAGGCATCACACAATGCATTAGAAAAATTCCATCCTCCCTAACAGCTGTTTAGTTGCTGGATAATTGCTTTTGGCTGCTGTTGCAATTCTACATGCTTTGTGTGATTTTACATATTAATAAAGATTCAGTGTCTTCATGGAGTCAATTGTCATGGAAATAAGAGTGCCTATCAAATGTCTTCTGGAAGTCTGAATAAAGTTCTTGTGGAGATAGGGGTAAGGGACAGATACTTTAATTGGAAGGATGTGGCCAGCATTTTCTTAAGTATCTATGCTCAGGCTTCCAACTATTCACCATACCTTCTGACCCTTAGATGGGTGAAAAAGTCTCATTTTCAAGTTTGCCATTGACAAAAAGATGTTACAAAATGATAAAGGAAGTCGATAGGTAAAATTGGTAAATGGATTTCAGTTTGGGCCTCTTAAAAAGATACTCTGTTTTAATATTGGAGGATTTGAGTTTTGATTGTGGCAAATAGAATTTACTTAATGTTTTGTGGATATGCCTGGAGTGGAGTGGACTGTGGACTTTTTTTAAACGGGACTGCTTAGAATCACTTTACTGCTTACTTTGCTATAGATCCTGTTGATAGTGGTTTTGAATGTGACTGGCTTGGAAAGGTTTTTGGTTTATCTGGTTCATTTGTAGGGAACACAAACAGAAGTTGGTGGAAAAGCTCAGCAGGTCTGGCCGCGTTTGTGAAGAGAAATTGGAGTTAATGTTTCAGGTCCGTTGACTCTTCCTCATTGGACCCAAAACGTTAAGTCTTCTCTTCACAGGTGTTCTCTTCACAGATTCTTAGGGGACTTGATGAGGTAGATGTGGACAGGTTGTTTCCCCTATGGGAGCATCTAGGACCAGCAGGCATAGTCTTAGAATAAGGAGTCACATTTTTAAGACAGATGACAAATTTCTTCTCTTTAGGAAGTAAATGTATAGAATTCTTTACCACAGAGGATTGTCTACGCTGTGGTACAGATTTTTAATCAGGTAAGGGAGTTAGGGTTCTTGGGATAAGACAGGAAATTGGAGATGAGGATTATCAATAAGCCATGATCATCTTGAATGGCAGAGCAGATTCAATGGGCTGAATGGCCTACTTCTAAACCTTGTGTTCTTATAGTCCCTGTAGGTATTGCTAGTTGGTAAATGAGACTGAAGTAAATCTGTCAGTGAATGAGGCTAGTGGTATGGTTAATAATTGGTATTTGATCTATTTATTGACCTTGACCTTGACCTCTTGCATAAGATCAATTAAATTGCAGGGCTTAAGGCTAAATTTCTAGCATTGACCTTTGCCACCAACTCTTGCCACTGTTCTCTGATCATGTCTGGATAGTCTCGCACCTCTGAGTGTTCAGGATTTCTTTCCTCCTTTCTATCTCTTCCACCAAGACCTCCCAGTGCAGCATTCACAATCCTCACTGTTTGCTTTCACTGTGAGCAATCATGGTTGACTCGTCCACCGTAATGTTCCAAATGATCTCAGCGACACCTAAGAGCCACAATGCGCCTTCTACTCAAAATGTTTAGGATAGTGTTTAGTAGCATTAGACTAGACATTCCAAAGTGTGGGTCATGAGCTGAAGTCTTGAGCTCCAAGGTATCATTGGCCACTTCAGAGCTCTGCCTCCTCTCCACTTCTTTTTACAGATCATCTTTCTTCTTCTAGCCATTAATGATTCTGGGCTCCCTGTTGATATGTGCAGCTAATGAACAACAGGGCTAAGAGCTCACTGAAGTCATGAAAATGATTGACCTGCACAAAGTTGGCATCTTGTCTGCGTTACAATGAATTGGCATAAGTTAATCAAGCACCATAATCTGTGTCCATTTCCATATGATATCCAGTTTAACCTTCCAGTGTTTCAAGAAGCCACTCAATTGTACTTGAGGGATGTTATGAATGAGCAATAAATGTGATCCTCTCCAGAGATGCCCTCATGTTGTGAGAGTGAATGAATAAAGATGAATGTCAAATGTGTTTTGTTTAAGGTACTTCCACTAGAAAATAAGTTGGAGGATCCACGGAAATTTCCAGTAATTCTATATGCAGGAATGGCAATCGTTGCAATGCTTTATTTGACTCTAGGAGTTATGGGATACATTCGTTTTGGGGGTGAAATTGAAGGAAGCATCACACTCAATTTACCAGCCTGCTGGTAAGTTGTTTTTTCTTTTCCCTAAAAGAATTTGTCAATCTTGTGTTTGACCACTACTTTCAGCATATAGCAAATCATATTTCTTTTCAGTAATATAATAGTTACCCTTTTTGTAAGCTTATTGTAAAGACAAGTTTAGCAGCCAGACTTGTGCATCTTCATTATCCTATATCCAAGCTGCTTAATAATTTCAAACCAGTGCTTAAGTGTTTGATTTGTATTTCAAATGCCTGCTTGTGGAACGACCATTCTTCAACTAACCCAAGTAGAAAAAAAACATTCAGGCAGTTAGGAATTTTGAGTGAACAGTTTAATCCTCCGGTGAAATTGATTTTTATTTTATATTTAATATTGTCCAACTAGTTGGTCAGCATTGAGCAGAGATGGAGTGTTGTAGAAACCCCCCACCACCCTCTTGTGTGTGTTTTGCCACCCTTCCACCTCCACCATGTGATGGGATTAAGAGGGTGTTGGGTGGTTGAACCAGTCTGTGCAGACTTAATCACTTCAGATTTTAATCAAGTATTCAGTCCTGATTTTTGTTATTAATGGCCACCTTATAGAACTATATTTCGTACAACCAACTCCAAGAACAAAGAATAGTACTGCACAGTAACAGTCCCTTCAGCCCATCAAGACTGTGCTGACACATGATGCCATTAAACTGAAAACCTGTGGCCTCTACATGTCCGTAACCCACTGTTCCCTGTCTATTTATAGATCTGTCAAGATGCCTCTTAAACATTACCATTCTATCTGCCTCCAGTACCTTCTTTGGCAATGCATTTCCAGCACTTGTAACCCCCTGTGTTTAAAAAGAAAACTGCCTTTCACATCTCCTTGTAAACCTACCCCCTTTACTAGGGGACGTATGTTTAAGGTAATTGAAAAGTCTACCCTGGAAAAAAGACTCCGACCATCCATTCTGTCTATGCCTCTCTAATTTTAGTCATACAGCACAGAATCAGACCCGTCAGTCTTGTGTCTATGCTGGTCAGGTTTTCTAAACTGAACTAGTCCCATTTGCCTGCGTTTGACCCATATCCCTCTAAACCTTTCCTATTTCTGTACCTGTCCAAATGTCTTATAAATGTCGTAAATATTCTCTCTGGCAGCTCATTTCATACGTGCACCACTCTCTGTAAAATTGTCCCTCAGGTCCCTTTTAAGTCTTTCCCCTCTTACCTTAAACCTATGCTGTCTAGTTTTAGAATCCCCTACCCTCGGAAAACGCCCAGGACAATTCACCCTATCCATGCCCCTCTGATTTTATAAACCTCTTATAAGGGCACCCCTCAGTTTCTGATGCTCCGGGGGAAAAAAGAAGTCCCTGCCTATCTAGCCTTTGTTTATAACTCAAACCAGCCAATCCCAGCAACAACCTTGTAAACTTTTTCTGCACCCTCTCTAGTTTAACATCCTTCCTGTAGCAGGGTGACCAGAATTCCATGCAGTATTCTAAAGTGGCCTCACCAATGTCTCGTACAGCTGCAACGTGACGTCCCAAAGCCTATACTCAGTGCTCTGACAAATGAAGGCAATCGTGTCAAACGCTGCCTTCACCCTGTCTACATGCAACACCACCTTCAAAGAACTGAGAACCTGCACCCCTATCCCTAGGTCACTCTGTCCAATAACATTCCCCAAGGCCCCATGATTAACTGTAAGTCCTACCCTGGTTTGCCTTACCAAAATGCAACACTTCTCATTTATCTAAATTAAACTCCATCTGCCACTCTTGACCCGGTCGCCGCTCATCCTTCAATGATCGAGTGAAAACAGACCAAGTTTGTCCAATCTCTCATAGCTAATTCCCTCCAAACCAGGCAACATCCTGGTAAACAATTTTTGTACCCTCTCCAAAGCACCCACTTCATTCTTGTAGTGTGACGACCAGGTACGTATACAGTACTCCAAATGTGGCCTAACTAATGTTCTATACAGCTGCAATGTGACTTGCCAATTTTTATGTTCTATGCCCTGACTGAAGGCAAGCATGCGAAATGCTGCCTTGACCACCTTGTGTTGCCATTCTCTGGAACTGTGGACCGGTATGCTTAGATCCCTTTATATGTTGATTTCTTTAAGGATTCTGCCATTTGCTATATACTTCCCTCCTGCATTAGACCTTCCAAAACGCATCTCCTTGCATTTGTCTGGATTAAATTCCATCTGCTATTTCCCTGGCCAAGTCTCCAGCCTGTTCATATCCTGCAGTATCCTCTGGCATTCCTTCTCATTATCTGCAGCTCCCTCAATCTTGGTGTTGTCTACACAGCACTTGTTAATCAGGCCACTCTCAGTGGATCCCATGTGACTTCACCTTTTGTGTGAGCCTGCCTTTGAAGGATCTTGTCAAAGGTCTTGCTTATGTCTATATAGACAACATCTATTGCCCTGCCTTCATCTGTCGTCTTTGTTGCTTCCTCAAAAAACTCAATCAAGTTTTGTGAGACACCACCTCCCCCATACAAAGCCATGCTAACTATCACCTAAGTCCATATTTTTCCAAATGTGAGTAAATCCTATCCCTGAGAATCTTCTCCAGTAATTTGTCCACCACTGATATAAGGCTCACTGGCCTGTAATTCCCCAGATTATCCCTGTGGCCCTTAAACGAACAATATTGACTGATCTCCAATCCTCTGGGACCTCTCTGATCTATAAAGGATAGAAAGATTTCGTTCAAGTCTCCAGCAGTTTCCTCACCTGCCTCCCTCCCATTCTGGGTAGGTCCTGACAAGTTCTGGGGACTTGTCTACCTCATTACTTTTCACAATACCCTGTGCCACTTTTTTTTAAATATCGACATGCCCTAGAATATCAGCATACCCCTCCCAAGACTCATCATCCACCATGTCCTTCTCCTTGTGAATACCGGTGCAAAATATTCATTTAAGGACCTCGCCCACTTCTGGCTCCATGCATAAATTCCGTCTTTTGTCCTTGAGTGGATCTACCCTTTCCCTAGCTGCCCTCTTGTTCCTTATATACCTATAAAAAGCCTTGGGCAAAGACATTTCATGGCCCCTTTTGGCCTTCCTAATTGATTTTGAGTTCTTTCCTGCTGTCTTTGTATTCTTCGAGGGCTCTGACTGTCATCAGTTTCCTAAACCTTGGATATGTCTCCTTTTTAAATTTTTTTTGCCTTTTTGACTGAGCGCTTAATTTCTCAGCCATCCAAGGTTCCCAAATCTTACCACCAAGATGCCATTACTCTGCTTTCAATATCTTGTCACTTTTCTTAACAAGGAAATTTGTGTTTGTAATTGAAACTTCTTGCAAAATAATCAATTGTATATCACAATAACATAACTAGATGTATCTGTGGAATTTTCTTTTGTTTAAAATACCTTTTTAAGTTTCTTGCTTTGTTTCTAAAGTCTGGAATAGGATGTGGACTTTTGCCCAGAGCTGTGAACTAAACTTCTATTCTGCAGTTGTAGTATGTCTCATTATAAATTGACTGCAAGTTATAAGTCAACTGAGGTTATCTAGATGTAAAATTGGAGAGTTTAAAACTGAAGTGTTTTAAAGAAGCATAGAGTTGACTGTTATGCAGCAGAAAGCATTGCATGGTCAATATCATCTCCTTTACATTGGCGATACTAATCGCAGACTGGATAGCTACTTTGCAGAACACCTTTGCTCTGTCTGTAGAAATGACCTCCACCTTTCAGTTTATCTCTTTCAATGAACCATCATGCTTCCATGCTATTATTACTGTCCTGGATATGCAACAGTGTTCCAGTGAAGCTCAGTGCAACCTGGAGGAACAACACCTCATTTTTCATTTGAGCACTTTAGACTTGATATTGAATTCTAAAGCCCATATAAACAAAGAGATAGTAGGAACTGCAGATGCTGGAGAATCTGAGATAACAAGGTGTAGAGCTGAATGAACACAGCAGGCCAAGCAGCATCATAGGAGCAGGAAGGCTGACGTTTCGGGCCTAGAAGGGTCTAGGCCCGA